GCTCTGGGTTGTGGTAATCACATGGATCTCTCCATAAAATTCTTAATGCCAGTTTATAAATCCAAACAATTTCAGATGGTGAAATAAGTTAGGTAGCTATATCAAGGAACCAGATTTATTTATTATTATTTATTTATTATTTGCATTTATTGACCGCCACTCTCAGCCCGAAGGCGACTCGTGGCGGTGTACAAAACATAGAACATATAGACAACAGTTACAATAATCAAGTCCATACACAACGTCTTACTAACACACAACTGGCATCTACCAACCCCCGTGGGTGTTCATTATCTGAGAGTCTACTGCATAGAATAATAATAATAATAATAATAATAATAATAATAATAATAATAATAACAGAATCAGAGAATTACAAGGGCCATGCAGTTCAACAACCTGCCACACAGAAAGACACAATCAAAGTACCCTGACAGATGACCATCCAGCTCAGCTTAAAAACCCTCAGAGAAGAAGACTCCACCACTCTCCCAGGCAGCATATTTCACTGCTGAACAGCTCTTCATCAGGAGGTTCTTCCTAATGTTTAGGCTGAATCTCTTTTCCTGTAGTTTTAATCCATCACTCCATGTCCTAATCTCCAGAGCAGCAAGGAACAAGCTTCCCCCCTCCTCAATGTGACATCTTTTCAAATATTGAAACATGGCTCTCATGTCCCCTCTCAGGCTCCTTTTCACCAAGCTAAACATAACCAGCTCCCTTCAGCTGTTCCTCATAGGGCTTGGCTCCCAGACCTTTTATCAATTTGGTTGCCCTTCTCTGGATACATTCCATTTTATAACACAATGTTATTCCAGGTGAGGTTGACCAAAGCAGAACAGAGTAGGGCTAGGATAGGCATGGGCAAACTTGGGCCCTCCAGGTGTTTTGGACTACAACTCCCACCATTCCAAACAGCCAGCTGTTAAGAATGGTGGGAGTTGAAGTCCAAAACACCTGGATGCCCCAAATTTCCCCATGCCTGAGCTAAGACTTTCCTTTACACTAGATTCCTATTGATGCAGCGTAAAATTGCATTGGCATTTTTAGCTGCCACATCCCACTGTTGGCTCATGTTCAGCTTGGGATTTCTGAAGATGTTGTCCACATCCTGGATAAAGATGCTGAATAGTGACATCACACTGTGGTGGAAGCTCCTGCCTTGGAAACTTTTAAACAGAGGCTGGATGGCCATCTGTCGGGGGTGCTTTGATTGTGCTTTTCCTGCATGGCAGAGGTTGAACTAGATGGCCTATATGGTCTCTTCCAATTCTTATTATTCTATTATTCTAAGGCATGGAAGGCAATGTGTGCCTGCCCTGGTTTGGGACCTTGATGTTGAAGAACTGGGCCCTTTTGGGTGGTGGCCCAAATAGCAAAGGATGTTCTTGGTGGTGGCCTCCTGGCTTTGGAATGCTCTCCCTAAAGAAATCAGACAGGCACCCTCTCTAGCTAACTTTAGGGAAGAACTAAAAACCTGGATGTGGAAGCTGTCTTACAAAAATGGTTGACTACTTTTTATTATGATGGTGGTCTTTTAGCCTTATTAATACCTATTGGTTTTTAACAGGTTTGCCTCCACGGTTCAATATGTTTTATACTCAGTATAATTTTAACCAGTGTATTTATTTATTGTGATATCATTTTTTAATTTTTTTTATTTATGATTAAAAGTAAAGGTTTAAGTCTAGTCATGTCCGACTCTGGGGTGTGGTGTTCATTTACATTTCTAAGCTGAAAAGCCAGGATTGTCCATAGATGCCTCCAAGGTCATGTGGCTGGCATGACTACATGGAGCATTGTTACCTTCCCGCTGGAGTGGTACCTATTGATCTACTCACATTTGCATGTTTTCGAACTGCTAGGTTGGCAGAAGCTGGGGCTAACCACAAGTCAGCAAGTTCAGAAGCTCAGCCGTTTGACCTGCTGCACCTGAACTCTTATGATTGTTGGTTATATATTATATCTTGCCTTTTTGGTTTCTGCTTATGTATGTATTATGACTTGATTCTGTTGTAAGCCATCCCAAGTCCTTGTGAAGACGGGGTGGAATATAAACAATGTTTATTATTATAATTATATTATTATTTTGTGGCACCATACTGACCATTTCTCTCCAGGATAAGGAGGGTCATAATAACAACAATAAAAATCACAACATGAGTACACATAACTCACGGAAGGCAAGTCCTTGATAAATATGTTGAATAGCACTGGCCATTTCTCTCTAGGCCAAGGAGGGTAATAATAACAACAACATAAGTACACATAAGGCATGGAAGGCAAGTCCTCAATAAAGATGTTGAATGGCACACTGGGCCCTTTTGTGGCACCACACTGGCCACTTCTCTCCAGGACAAGGAGGATAATAATAATAATAACAACAATAATAACAACAATACAAGGAGGGAGCAAGCTTGTTTTCTGGTGCCCTGGAGACTAGGATGCGGAGCAATGGATTCAAACTACAGGAAAGGGGATTCCACCTGAACATGAGGAAGAACTTCCTGACTGTGAGAGCTGTTCAGCATTGGAACTCTATGCCCTGGAGTGTGGTGGAGGCTCCATCTTTGGAGGCTTTTAAGCAGAGGCTGGATGGCCATCTGTCGGGGGTGCTTTGAATGCAATTTTTCTGCTACTTGGAAGGGGGTTGGACTGAATAGCCCACAAGGTCTCTTCCAACTCTATGATTCTATGAGTGCACATAAGGCATGGAAGGCAAGTCCTGCATAAAGATGTTGAATAGCACTGGGCCCTTTTGCGGCACCACATTGGCCACTTCTCTCCAGGATGAGGAGGGTTATAATAACAACAATAAGAATAACGACATGAGTACACATAACACATGGAAAGCAAGTCCTGCATAAAGATGTTGAATAGCACTGGGCCCTTTTGCGGCACCACATTGGCCACTTCTCTCCAGGATGAGGAGGGTAATAAAAACAACAATAACAATAGCAACATGAGTACACATAACACATTATTGAATAGCACTGGGCTCTTTTGTGGCACCATGCTAGCCACTTCTGTCCAGGATGAGGGTAAAAATAACAACAATAATAATAACAATATGAGTACACATAATGCATGGAAGGCAAGTCCTGGATAAAGATGTTGAATAGCACTGGGCCCTTTTGTGGCACCACATTGGCCACTTCTGTCCAGGATGAGGAGGGTAATAACAATAACAAAAGTAACAATAACAATAGTAACATGAGTACACATATCACATTATTGAATAGCACTGGGCCCTTTTGTAGCACCAGACTGGCCACTTCTTCCTAGGATGAGGAGGGTCATAATAACAATAACCACAACAATAACAATAATACTATAATGCATGGAAAGTAAGTCCTGGATCAAGAAGTTGAATAGCATGGGGCCCTTTTGTGGCACCACACTGGGCACTTCTTCCTAGGATGAGGAGGGCCATAATAACAATAATAACAATAACAATATGAGTATACATAATGCATGGACGGCAAGTCCTGGATCAAGATGTTGAATAGCACTGGGACCTTTGGTGGCACCACATTGTCCACTTGTCTCCAGGATGGAGAGTAATAATAACAACAATAACAATAACAACACGAGTACACATAATGCATGGAAGGCAAGTCCTGGATCAAGATGCTGAATAGCAGGGGGCCCTTTTGTGGCACCACACTGGGCACTTCTTCCTAGGATGAGGAGGGTCATAATAACAGTATGAGTACACATAGTGCATGGAAGGCAAGTCCTGGATCAAGAAGTTGAATAGCACTGGGACCTTTTGTGGCACCACATTGGCCACTTCTCTCCAGGATGGAGGGTAATAATAACAACAAAAACAATAACAACATGAGTACACATAATGCATGGATCAAGAGGCTGAATAGCAGGGGGCCCTTTTGTGGCGCCATACTGGCAACTTCTTCCTAGGATAAGGAGGGTCATGATAGCAATAACCACAACAACAACAATAACAATAACAACATAATGCATGGAAAGTAAGTCCTGGATCAGGAAGTTGAATAGCACGGGACCCTTTTGTGGCTCCACACTGGCCACTTCTTCCTAGGATGAGGAGGGTCATAATAACAATAACCACAATAATAGCAATAACAATATAATGTATGGAAAGTAAGTCCTGGATCAAGAAGTTGAATAGCATGGGGCCCTTTTGTGGCACCACACTGGGCACTTCTTTCTAGGATAAGGAGGGCCATAATAACAATAACAACACGAGTACACATAATGTATGGAAGGCAAGTCCTGGACCAAGATGCTGAATAGCACGGGGCCCTTTTGTGACACCACATTGGCCACTTGTCTCCAGGATGGAGAGTAATAATAACAATAACAATAACAACATGAGTACACATAATGCATGGATGGCAATTCCTGGATGAACAAGTTGAATAGCACAGGGCCCTTTTGAGGTGCCACACTGGCCACTTCTTCCTAGGATGACAATAACCACAACAATAACAATAACAATATAATGCATGGAAAGTAAGTCCTGGATCAGGAAGTTGAATAGCACGGAGCCCTTTTGTGGCACCACTCTGGGCACTTCTTCCTAGGATGTGGAGGGTCATAATAACAATAATAACAATAACAATATGAGTATACATAATGCATGGAAGGCAAGTCCTGGATCAAGATGTTGAATAGGAGGGGGCCCTTTTGTGGCACCACATTGGCCACTTCTCTCCAGGATGGAGGGTAATAATAACAACAATAACGATAACAACATGAGTACACATAATGCATGGATCAAGATGCTGAATGGCACTGGGACCTTTTGTGGCACCACACTGGGCACTTCTCTCCAGGATGAGGAGGGTAATAACAACAGTAACAATAACAATAGTAACATGAGTACACATATCACATTATTGAATAACAGGGGGCCCTTTTGTGGCGCCGCACTGGGCACTTCTTCCTAGGGTGAGGAGGGGTCCTGATAGCAATACCAGTAGGGACAAGGGAGGGCCGGGCAGGCGTGCTGGTCCTACCTGCCAGCAGCTGCATCCAGGCGCAGATCTTGTAGACCGTGGCGGTGTTGCAGAAGAAGAAGAGGGCGAAGCAGGTGATGCAGCCCAGGATCAGCACCATGGAGAGCAGCACGAAGAAGGAGGCGGCCTTGAAGGCGCCCGAGGGGATGCTGCGGAAGTCGGCGAAGGAGCCGCGGCACGTGAACTCCTTGAGGCTGCCCTCGTTGCCCACGCAGTAGTGGAAGAGGCCGAAGTAGCCCGGCTTGGGCGTGCTGACGCTGTCGCCGATCCAGTAGGGCTGGATGAAGACCACCACGTTGATGATGGCGAAGCAGATGGTGAAGATGGCCCAGAGCACGCCGATGGCTCGCGAGTTCCGCATGTAGTTGTCATGGTACAGCTTGGAGGCCTCCTGGGAGGGCAGCATCCTGGCGGGAGGAGCGGGGAGGGCCCCGAGGGAGGGAGGACCTCCTCCTCCTCCTCCTCTGCCTCTCCGCCTCACCAAGCCATGAGGCACCGAGAGGTAGACGGTCCCCGACAGTTGTTACAACAACACCCCGTTCCCCTTGGTCTCCTTCAGGCTCCTCTTTGCAGCTCCGGCCGCGACTCCATCTTGGCCAACCTGGCTTGCTTCTCTGGCTCGCCTCAGCAGCGCACGCGCACGCGCACGAGGGAGGGAAGGAAGGAGAGCGCGCGCCCGCTATCCCGGTACGTTGGAACGCCAAGCGCGAGGACAAGGGAGGGGCGGGGTAGGTCTTAAAGAGCGCGCGGGAGAACACACACACACACACACACAGAGCATGGGAAGGAGCCAATAGGCAGGGGAAATGATGGGAAAAGGAGAGAGCGAGAGAGAGGATGGGAACGCGCATGCGTCAAGGCGAGCGGGTCAAGAAGGAGAAAGCAAAGGGAGCCGGCAGGCCGGTGCGCATGCGCAATAAGAGCAAGGCGATTTCTCCTCACTTACCTACACATCAACATCAACTGGCAACAAAGATCCGCCTAGTCAAAGCCATGGTATTCCCTGTAGTCACCTACGGATGTGAGAGCTGGACCTTAGGGAAGGCTGAGCGAAGGAAGAGAGATGTTTTTTGAGCTGTGGTGTTGGAGGAAAGTTCTGAGAGTGCCTGGGACTGCGAGAAGATCCAACCAGTCCATCCTCCAGGAAATAAAGCCCGGCTGCTCACTGGAGGGAAGGAGACTACAGACAAAGTTGAAGTACTTTGGCCACATCATGAGGAGACAGCAAAGCCTACAGAAGACAATTATGCTGGGGAAATTGTCCCCAAGGGCAAGATGGATGGATGGCATCCTTGAAGTGACTGGACTGACCTTGAAGGAGCTGGGGGTGGTGACGGCCGACAAGGAGCTCTGGCGTGGGCTGGTCCATGAGGTCACAAAGAGTCGGAAACGACTGAACAAATGAACAACAACAACCTACACATCGCCTTTCCTCAGTGACACTGTGAAGGAAGGGAATTAACAAAATAATAATAATAATTGCAAACCATAAAATGCAATCAGTCCGAAGCCTATAAATATCTGAGCATACTACAGTTGGACAATATCAATCATGGGCAAGTGAAAAATGTGGTCAGCAAACAGGGGTGACTCAACCCATTACGCAAACTAAGCATTTGCAGTATAGTTGATTTTGCCCAGGGGCACTCTTGAGATGCTCTTGGGGGAAAATAGACCTTGACATATGCGAGTTGTAGTTACTGGGATGTATAGTTCACCTACAATCAAAGAACATTCTGAACTCCACCAGTGATGGAATTGAGCCAAATATGGCACACAGAATTCCCACGACGAACAGAAAATATATATCAGTGATTGGTTGGGGGGTGGGGGCACCAAAATACTGTTTGCTTACCATTGAAAATCACCTAGGGCTGCCTCTGTCAGCAAAGAATATATCCAAAAAGTGAGAAAGGTATTGAAAAGCAAATTAAATGGTGGAAATACAATCAAGGCTATCAACACCAGGGCCATCCCCGTCATTAGATACACTGCTGGGATTGTGAACTGGACACAAGCAGAGCTGGGTGACCTGGACAGAAAAACAAGAAAACAGGTGACAATCTACTACTCATTGCACCCACGCAGTGATGTCGACAGACTTTACCTGCCCAGAAAATCAGGAGGCAGAAAGAGGGCTTCTGCAAGTGAAACAAATGGTAGAAGAAGAGAAACATGTGCTGGCAGATTATGTAAAAGGCAGTCAAGAACCAACATTGAGGGAAGTCAAGAGTAGAAAACTGCTTCAAGTGCAAAAGACAAAGAGTGAATACCGTAAAAACACAATCCAGAGCAGAAGAGAAAATTGGCAAATAAAGGCTCTCCATGGACAGTTACTGGGGGAAACTGAGAGCCAAATTGATAAAGAAAAAACATGGCTGTGGCTCACAAATGGAACTCTGAAAAAGGAGACGGAGGGCCGGATTCTGGCAGCCCAAGAACAAGCCATTAGAACCAATGCCATCAAAGCCAGAATGGAAAAGTCGATGACAGATCACAAATGTAGACTATGCAAGGAAGCAGATGAAACAATAGATCACATCCTCAGCTGCTGCAAGAAGATCGCACAGACAGACTAAAAGCAGAGGCATAACACTGTTGCTCAGATGATTCATTGGAACTTGTGCCACAAATACTATCTGCCTGCGACAGAGAACTGGTGGGATCACAAGGCGGAAAAAGTTACAGAAAATGAACACATCAAACTCCTCTAGGACTTCTGAATTCAGACTGACAGAGTTATGAAGCACAATACTCCTGACCTCACGATCATGTTAAAAAACAAAGTATGGATTGTCGATGTTGCAATCCCAGGTGACAGCGGGATTGAAGAGAAACAACTGGAAAAGCTGACATGATATGAGGATTTAAAGATCAAACTGCAAAGACTCTGGCACAAGCCAGTCAAGGTGGTCCCAGTGGTGATTGGCACACTGGGTGCAGACCCTACTCAGATATGCACCTATTACTCACCGATACATCACACAGTCCTAGACACAGGAAGTGTCCAATGTATGATCCAATACAACAGCCASCAGAGTGATCTTGTTTGCTGTGGACTCATCTTGTTGTGTTTCAGATAATAATAATAATAATAATAATAATAATAATAATAATAATAATACTGATTTGAAGATTTAAAGATAGAACTGCAAAGATTGTGGCACAAGCCAGTAAAGGTGGTCCCAGTGGTGATCAGCACACTGGGTGCAGTGCCTAAAGACCTTGGCCTGTACTTAAACACAATCTGTGGTGACAAATTTACCATCTGTCAGCTCCAAAAAGCCACCCTACTTGGATCTGCAGGCATTGTTCGCCAATACATCGCAAGCTAGATACTTGGGAAGTGTCAAAGGTGTGTTCAAATACAAAAGCCAGCATAGTGATCTTCTTTGATGTGTACTAATCTTATTATATGTCAAATAATAATACATCAAACACTTATGTCACTTATGGTAAATTATATATAAAATTAAAATATGTGTGAAGGAGAAGAAAATGTGTGTAAAGGTGGGGAATAAAAAATAATAAAAATATGTGGGAATTAATAATAATAATAATAATCATAGAATCATAGAGTTGGAAGAGACATCATGGGCCATCCAGTCCAACCCCCTGCCAAGAAGCAGGAAAATCACATTCAAAGCACCCCCAACAGATGACCATTCAGTCTCTGCTTGAAAGCCTCCAAAGAAGGAGCCTCCACCACACTCCRGGGAAGAGAGTTCCACTGTTGAAAAGCTCTCACCGTTAGGAAGTTCTTCCTCATGTTCAGGTGGAATCCCCTTTCCTGTATTTTGAAACCATTGTTCCGCATCCTAGTCTCCAGGGCAGCGGAAAACAAGTTGCTCCCTCCTCCCTGTGACTTCCTCTCACATATTTATACATGGCCATCATGTCTCCTCTCAGCCTTCTCTTCTGCAGGCTAAACATGCCCAGCTCTTTAAGCTGTTCCTCATAGGGCTTGATCTCCAGTCCCTTGATCATTTTAGTTGCCCTCCTCTGGACACATTCCAACTTGTCAATATCTCTCTTCAATTGTGGTGCCCAGAATTGATGTGGTCTAACCAAGGCAGAATAGAGGGGTATTATTATTATAATTATAATAATTATTATTATTAACTTTATTTTTACCCCGCTAGCATCTCCCGAAGGACTCGATGCGGCTTACAAAGGCCAAGGCCTCAAAACACAACATAACAATACACAACCTAAAGCAAATTAAAAACAGTTAAAGCAATATTAACCAACAAGCAATAAACAATACACCAGGACACAATAAAACTGGGCCGGGCCAAAGTAATGGGTACAGATTAAAAGTGCTGATGTGACAGGTGATATGTAAGGGTTATAGGGTAAGTACAGTGTGCCAGCGATGTTAATTTCTAATAAAGTGCTTTTGGGACTTATTGATGGAGTTTTTCTATTCTGGAAAGGCACATCGGAACAGCCAAGTCTTCAAGTTCTTTCTAAAGACTGCCAATGAAGGGGCCTGTCTAAGATCTTTGGGGAGGGTGTTCCAGAGTCGGGGGCCACCACAGAAAAGGCCCTGTCTCGCGTCCCCACCAAACGCACCTGCGACGCAGGCAGAATCACGAGCAGGGCCTCTCTGGATGAACGAAGTGAGCGCGTGGGTTCATAAACGGAGATGTGGTCACTCAGGTAGATAATCCATAAGACTAAATTGTCGTCCCAGTGAATCTCTGCTTCCTGAAAGGAATGGAATTGACAAGTGGAACAATGAGCTTCATAACCACAGTCAGGATCATGTCTCTGTCACATCAGGGACAGCTTGGTAGGATTTACAGGGGACAGTTTTTACTGAGTTAAAAGAAGCAGTGATCATGAGAGCACAGGAGAGGACCTCCTCACTGCTTGTTTCCAGGCTTTCTTACTCCCTCCTTTGGGATATTTCCTTTTTGTCCTTCTGGCAGCAAGTGAGTATTTTCCTGTGCCAACAGGTAATTGACTACAATAGACTTTTAACGGTATACTCTCTTGCTGATTTTTATATTTTGTCTTTCAATGAATGTTTAAGTGGTTTTAATTCTATAGATTGCTCGCTTAAATTTAAAACATATATATGTGCGCGTGTGTGTGTGTGTGTGTTTATATATATATATATATATATTTGTGTCAACCATTTTAAGTTGCAACACAAAGGAATAAGTAATCATTAACATCCCGTCATGCCTTTCTTGTGAATTTCTTGAAGGCGATTGTCAGGCCATTGCTACTTAGTGATTTGGAGTGGCTTCCAGGTAAATGAGGAGGCCAACTGGCTCCAGGTTTATTGAGTGAACTATCCAAGGTGCTGAACTCATTTAAAGATGGGTTCAATGTCTTTAAGCACTTCTTTAGATGAGAAAGGGAATTGGCTCCAGGCTTTCACTTGATGTTTAGATGAGCTATCCAAGGTGCTGAACCTATTTGTGGGACTAAAGCATTGGTGTCAAACCTGTGGCCCTCCAGGCGTTTTGAACTTCAGTTCCCAAAATTCCTGGTCATTGGAGAAGCTGCCTGGGACTTCTAGGAGTTGGAGTCTGGGGTCCCTTCCAGACAGCCCTATATCCCAGAATATCAAGGCAGAAAAATCCCACAATATCTGCTTTGAACTGAATTATCCGAGTCCACACTGCCATACATTCCA